CCCACCACACCTAGCACGTGAAGCGTACTCATCAGCCGTGGCTGCAACACACAGTACTTTCTTTACAGACGAATATTGTAACCAATTGGTATGTATTCCATGCACTTTGAGCAACGCAACATATTATCCATGTCACAACAACAGTTTCAATTCGAAAATATGGTTAATCATTGTATACGTTTTTGAAAAATGAGCGCTGATATGAAGAATGAAGCAAACAGCAGATAAACAGGTTTATAACTGTCACAATACTTATACATATAAAAACTTATAATGCAACTTTCTCACATCTATCATACACAAACACATAGATTACACAAAATTTAGATTTTAGGGTATTGAACAGGTATACCGTTCCTATTTAGGTGGTCCACAAGCCTACAAAAAACCGCAGTCAGTCAATGACGGCCATCAGAACCCACAGGTAACACACTGGATATCATTATGATGTCTACACATGACATGGATAAGTACCATGCATAAGGATCCTTAATAATTGCCCTTACATTGATAAGTGTAGTTGCCTACGAGGTTTTGTCACCGCTGTCCGCTCAGGACTGTTTACGGTTGCCCTTACATGATTGCATACGTTTGCCCAAACAGGACTACCGGAACTTACAGTGGTCCACACGGGACTGCCATCCTATATCATTGCCCACACAGGACTACATGATTTGATATCTGCCCACACATAAAATATCCTGTCAATGCATACTGGACTTCAGTACATCATTGACATATCAGTTTGCCCACACATGACTACATCATAACTTCTCTTCAATAGTTGCCCACATAGTCACTTCGGTTACTCGTCTATGCTAGATCACCGATGACTTTCTGTCCTCACAACAACATGGGTTAGAGCTGTAATTACACAAGTAGCAATATCTAACTACCGTACTCTAATTATGTTTTACCCAATTCATAGTTACAAAACTATAACCAATATATGCACATTGATATATATGTCAATCAAAGCTCCATCATTAATCTATAACTGTTACTAGTTGACGTCATATACTACTAATAAGAATTACTACCACATATACAACTTGTTTTTTATTAAACTAGCTAAATCAACTATACAAGTTTCGCATTAAGGCAAACTGAACACTTTTAAAACTGTGTCAAACCTGTACATGCAATTCGGTTATGCATAACCGATATAGGCGTGGTATTCAAAGGTATGATATGTAGTCATCGGTCTGAACTATAATATGTATGTATACGCTTCAAGTACAAACGGATCATATGTCAGGTCATACAATTTAACGTATGGGATATTATAATGCTATTGCACTTACTGCAAACTGTATTTTGTGTTTTGAAAACCCATTGTAAGTCGTTTGACACTCACGCTATAACATAACTATGTGTTGTGTTTACATGTACAACTATCTGCGGTTCTACTTATCTACTTGCATTAAACCAGAAACTTGGTAATTATAATAAATATATTGAATAATTACAAATCATATCAAATAAAGTAGAACTAGATTATGTACTCACTATACATGTATATTGAAACTATACTCAATCTATAGAAATGTGATTGATATTGTTTACATATACTCAATATATCAAAAATATGTTTGGAACTGTGTCGGCTTCCAGAAATAAACACAATTATATTCCTCAAACACACATCATATCTATGTCAGTCTGATATATACACTCTGCTAAGGAAATCAGCCCCTACGTTGTCTGGTTCTTTGATAGCTCGTATTCGGAACCGATGTAGCTGAAGCTGCAATGATCACCTCGTCAATCGTGCGTCGGTTCCTTTCGATTTATTTAGATACAGTTATGGCTGATGGTCCGTTTCCAAGTTGAACTGATGCCCGTTTTGAAACCTGGATATCACACACACAACCACCAAACCTTCCTCCTCAAAACCGAATTTGCCATTTCTCCGCCTTTGAATTTCTTATCATGTATGCAACCGGATGCACTACACCATCATCCTCTTAAAGCCGAATTGATCCATTGCCTAATTCGATGCATCCGTTCTGAGTATGAATTTAGTACTCAAATCGTGCAATTTTAGATCAAGGCTGGTAGATAACACATTTTTCAGTATGTTGAAAATTAAGCCCTGGGACTCCTACCCGATGCATTCATTCGGCTGGCCTTTCCTGGTGAGATATGTCAAAGGCGCTGCAATCATTGCGAAGTTTGTTTGTTTGCTGTTTTTGTGAAGACGAGTGAAGTTTCTAACTTTTGTCATACGGCGAAAAAGGCAGTTTGGAAAACATCGAATATACGGCAAACCTAAACATCGCAATGTGGTTTCTATATAAATTATTGTGAGGAAAGTAAGCTCAACCATTGAACGTTTTTGTTTCTTACCAGGCTTAGTACAAAAAACATCAGTGAACCGTATAGTTTCCTAACATGTATGATACATTACTGACTGTTCTGGTTTCTAATCTGTAGGAATCATTACATTTTGTAACAGCAAACGTAATCAATGATATTATTGCTTTATTTTGTCAGTTATTATGAATTGAGATTTAAGGCAATACAGTAATACAGTTTAATACAGATATTTGTATAGGTTTCTTACCAAATATATCACTACTATAGGCATTGCGAATAAGTTGGTGCATTAGCATATACGTTGTTCGCTCTTTAAATTATTGTTGATGTTATCGTTATATTCCGTTATGGCGTTTGAGATAAATATTGCCTTTGCTTTGGAGAAGTTAACCAGGTGTAAGTCAAAAAGAAGGCTGCATATTTGGTAAAAATCAGAGACGGAAAAGAACCATTGGACCCCTTTATGTTAGAAGTGGTATTAGGAAAAGAACCAAGAGAGAATATACTTAGAAGGATCGACTTTGGTGCATATCCTTAGCGGGCAGAAGGAAGAGTGCAAACACCAGAAATTTTGGTCATCACCTACTCGCTGTCCGATGAGAAGGGATCCAATTGCTGAACAATGATATATCGGGGCCAGTTATACCGGGCAGCATACAGACAATAGCAAGAGAAGTACCGGTTTCAGTAAATTTCAGGGCCAAGAGACAGGAAAAAATTACAATATCATTCTTCCTTAGTTAATATCAAGGCGACAACAACGTTCACTTGGCCATTTTTCGTTTTCAGTGACAATTTATTTGTTATTTATTAACAGTTGCATTCCATTTTCCACGTTATAGAATCAATAGGTTCCGCTCGGGAGTGACGTAAACACAGCAGGGGTAAATACTGAGTTCACAAAGTTAATACCTCGTATATCCCCCGTTTGCCTGAATGCAAGCCTGGCAACGTCAACGCATGGAGCCTATCAGACGGTTCAATAATGCTTGTGGGATGGCATTCCAGATCTGTACCAACGCTGCAGCCAAATCAGCCAACGTCACCGGTTGATTAGGTAATGCCTGTAATCTGCGCTTCATTTCAGCCCAGACGTGTCCAATGGGCGACAGATCGGGAGATACAGCAGGCCAGGGTAATACGTCAACGTTCTGCTGGGCCAGAAATCCCATCGCGACACGAGCTGTGTGTTGCCTGGCGTTGTCCTGCTGTAGCGTAATGTGACGTTGCTTCCCTTACACGAATGGAACGACGTGGGTCCGGAGGATCTCGTCACGGTAACGTAGCGCGTTCAAATTCCCGTTAACAACCACCAGAGGCGTTCTCCAGTTGGCTGTGATGCCGCCCGAAAACATGACGCTGCATCCGCCGAAAGAACGTCGTTGTACCACACACGTGTCACGGAAACGCGTGTTTCGATGGACATGAAAACGTGTATAGACAACGGCTTGGCCCATGTCAGCTTTAAGCATACCATTACGCCTCGGCATAGCATTAATCACAAATTAAACGTTATAATGCTGTTTTTACTGTTCACTGGTCTCCACAGAGTGACCCAACAGTTGAAAAATAAACTTTCATTGTCAAATTGGATGGCTGGACGAGAAAAAACGTGCAAACTGGTCAACGCCTATAGAGAGCAAACTGCACGGGGAAAACTGTCAATGACACACGGATAGTGTGTATGTGTCATACTCGGTCATGTGTGTGAATTTTCATGTATATACAGTTGGTAGTACATGTTCTATAACAATTCCCCGCATGCACAGTTTCTTTTTTCCGCTAGTATATTTAGTTGTTCTATGTCATTATCAACCTCAGGAGAAAGGAAACAATGAAATCATAGAAGACATTACCGGCTTAGTCCATCTAGGTCAAGGTCACCCCCAATGTATAGGAGATGCGAACTCACCGATCTAGTAATTATTGGTCAAAGGGCACCACTAAGGTCACGCAGGAGGTTGTTGCCGAGGAAAAGGCATGTCAGACATAGACGATATCACATATCTAGTTCTTCTGGGTTTCGTGATAGGTGTTGGTCTAAATCCTCAGGACATTCACGAAGCTAGTCGGTATTCTTTTACGACACGTCCTCTGGTAGCCATGCATCCGGGAAGAATCGGAAAAAATCGGGTTCCTAACCTCGCAGGTGACATTCCAAACTGTTATTCAAAACTATGAAGTATAACAGCTTTCTTGCAAGCAACAGATTAACCGTTACAGGTCTGTACTGCATTGGGCAGAAGGAGAATACATGAGGAAATTAGACTGGCCTTTTGGTGCCCATGAACTTACGAAAACTTCAAAGTTAAGTTCCGTCAAACAGCACCGCTTCCCGAGGAATCTGTGAAATATTCGACCTCTTGTGTTGCCTTTGGACACATATGGCAGTAAATGACTTAAAAAAATCCGGTTTCCTTCATAAACTGTTCTGAAGTGCAACAGCTTGATCATCATGTTGTCATGCCAGCATTATGTAGGACAGTGGATAAGATAGTAAGAGCAAGTGGAATACCTTGATGGAGCCAGCCGCCGTGACAGAAACAAGTTGTACAGAGGTGACGATCTTTTGAAGTCAGATAAGACATATGAGGTCACCTTGAAACATCAACTACTTGTATCCCTTAAAGCACACATGACAGTTTGGGTAATCCTTTGGTAACTTTAATACGGTCACTTACCTCTTTCTTGGTTATCCACATCCTGGTTGTGATAATCATAACAGTCGGCGAACAGCTGGTCAGCGTTTGCTGGAGACTTCATCTCCAGACATGCAGTTTACTTCGGTCAGATTTCTTGTCTGACTGTCAAGAAGGATGTACTGCTTGTTAACTCGAGATTGGTTTCTCGCACCAAGTCGTGACTACGTTCCCTCATGTTCAGAACCTTCCATCATAATGTTGAGGGGAGTGATTTGAGTAATGTATAGAGGTCTATAATATAATATTTAATTAATATTTTTGGATATTACTATTGCAATACTTTTATTCAAGCAATGGACTGTTTTTGTATTGCATATATGATGTTTTTGAATGGCGCAGCTTTGTAGGCAAACACCATAATGCGTGCTAGTTTCATTCACGCTAGATGATAATCCAACACCAAAACAAAACCGCGCAAATCCAAACAGAGAGTGGCAAAAATCGTTTGATTCTGGCTTGGTTGGATCAGTGCAGTGTTACAGAGGATATTTCTGATAAATTGTATGAGTGTTTAAATTATTTTCATAAATTATTTCAACCGATGTATTTTGTACGATTTTGCAGACCTTTGTTTTTTTTTATTGTAATAAAAGTATTTTAAAAAGATGTTCTCGTTTTTTACACATTTACACATTTACACATTTACAATTACATTGTCAAGTCTCACAATGCCCTGCGATAATTCAGCAACCGTCATGTATTTGTTTACTTCGGTTATTGTGTTCCGGTCTGTGTTGTATTAATACGCTAAGTATTGTGTCTCGTGGTACATGGCATTTAAAGTCCCATCAACGACACAACTTACACAACTTTCAAATAGGTTGTCCAGTGACAATGTTAATGTTATGTTTCACAGGAAACGGATATACATGGTAGCTTTTCCCCAATTAATCACCATACGTAAACGACATTGACGCAGCCCACCCGCATGTATACCCAGCTACCAAATGCACAGTTCAAACATACTCTGCCCAATTTATTTTCAAATCTGTGTATTCTGTCATAAACATTAAATCATCTCACCTATAACATCAACTGTGGTCGTGTCTGTCTGTAGTGTATTGTCGGTGTTGTCGTTTCTCCCCTCACACGTCCATCTGTCCTCGTGACTGTAATTGCTGGCGGGAATCTGTATCCACAGTGTCCTCGTGTCTCTGTTACAAGTAAGTGTGTAGGGTGGTACTGATGGACATACTGTCCCAAAGTTTATAAACATTGTACCTACTCTACCACCGCCATCATTCAGTCTGTAGTTAACAGCAGCATTTGGTCCTGTGTAGTCAGCTGACCACTGACACGTGATACTGAGGGTCTGACCGGACACGAGCTGGACTGTAGGACTTGGACTTACCACCACGGATAATCCAGTTACACCTGTACAGATGAGAAAAGCGATGATCAAAAGTATGGTATGTTTTTTCTATGTTAAGTAAATATAATTCGGCACGAGTAAAGGGTTAGGTGTTAGTTTGGTCCGTGTGGATATTGAGTATATAAATATATAGTCATTGTGGACCCCAATTGAGACAACAGTAATTGTAAGTTTGTTGTACAGAGATTGGTTGCATGTTATCTCTATTTTTACCCCAATTAAACATGTCTTGGCTTACGGCTGTTTAAGGTTATATGTCACATTCTAATTGTACTGGACGTAAATACTTTTAAATAAAGTATCAAAATTAAAGGTTGCCGAACCTATAATCAGCGTTACTGTAGTATGTGAACAATACATGTAACTGATTGGTATACATATGCCTCTTATTAGTTAAAGTACTTACGTGTATTAATACAGACATTCAAGCAAACAAGCATATGCTGCCTTACGTTAAAATCTATAATCAAAAACATATCACAGATTTGTAATATTGTCAATCTTTCTAGTATCTGTCTGCCCAATGTTTTCTATTAAATAGCCTGGTCAGAGCTACGTTCACAGGTAAAACATCATGTGACTTTTTTTGTGTGAACTGTGAACAACCACATGCTATGTACGTGTTATTATATTTGCATTCTTGATGTTAGTTTTCTACATGAATATATCTACTGAAAACAACTGCCATTATACCATGACCACCCTATGAATACAACGATGCTCATACAACCAGTCAGCTGATTACACACCCAATGATCACACAATTCATGGTGTACGCATTGTACCGTTTCTGATTTTTCATCTAGTCTGGCACTGTTTTTGTCTTGCGTGGGAGGAAATCTCTCTTTCACTGAACTTCTCTACCTTTTTTTTTTCATAAGAGGGATTCTGACCTCATTGGCCCCGGTATCTATCCGCCTAATGCGTGTTTTACATTATTCCGCTAAATTTGAGGTGACGAGTATGACATCATCAGAGTTGTGACATCATCTGTATAATGGCTGACGTTTACCAACCAAGGATAAGAGTTCTTCCAACAGAACCCATATATCATGAGTAATCCGAAAAATATGCCAGGAAGAGATGCCTCACCTATTGGGTATTTCTGTCTTGTTTTCGTTAGAGCTGACTATACAAAAAAAAGTACCTCGCTTGCCCAGACGTTATACAAGGTTTCATGGGAAAACAAAGTATGGAAGTTCTTTGAAATGTTCTAACATGTATATGCATGCCTGCATTATGTTGTCAAACAATTCTTTTTTTAGTCAGAACTAAATAATTAATGCATTCGTCTGTAATTGTCACACTGTACAGTCCCGTCCTGTAGTCGTCATACTGTACAGTCCCGTCCTGTAATTGTCACACGGTACAGTCCCGTCCTGTAATTGTCACACAGTACAGTACCGTTCTGTAACCGTCACACTGTACAATCCCGTTCTGTAACCGTCACAATGTACAGTCCCGTCCTATTATCCCTCACTGTACAGTCCCGTCCTGTCATCCCAATAATGTACACTCCCGTCACACTGTACAATTTCGTCCTGTAATTGTCACACTGTACAGTCCTGTCCTGTAGTCGTCATACTGTACAGTCCCGTCCTGTAAACATCACACTGTACAGTCCCGCCCTGTAATTGTCACACTGTACAGTCCCGTCCTATTATCCCTCACTGTACAGTCCCGTTCTGTCATCCCAATAATGTACACTCCCGTCACACTGTACAATTCCGTCCTGTACTTGTCACATTGTACTGTCCCGTCCTGTAAACCCCACACTTTACTGTCCCGTCCTGTTATCCCCACACTGTACAGTCCCGTCCTGTTATCCCACATTGTACAGTCCCGTCCTGTTATCCCCACACTGTACAGTTCATCCTGTAATTGCCATCCTGTACTGGCCCGTCCTGTATTTGTCAAACTGTACATTCCCGTTCTGTAATTGTCATATTGTACAGTCCCGTCCTGTAATTGTCACATTGTACAGTCCTGTCTTAAAGTTGTCACTCTGTACCGTCCCGTCATCTAATCGTCACAATGTAAGGCCCTGTCCTTAAATCGTCACGATGTACCGTCAACCGTTCAATAAGTCTTCGTAAAGACCTGTCGATGTACATGTATCATATTATTTTCAAAGGTGAAAATGAGTTTGTCATTTCATCAGAAAGTGACAATTATGACTCTCTTTCTTGAAGAAGGCACATTTTACGGACCCGTCACAGAACGGATAGATCTTATTATTTCAGAGTGTCCAAAATTCTGTTGTACGAATTTATGTGATTTTGTTTTTCAAATCGCTAGTGTTGGCAAAGAACTAACACCAGACCGATTCGTAGGCTTTTTACCTACTTACTTCTTTTAGTTCATTTTGCCTAGAAATGTTCATCCTAAACAACATGAAACAATACACAACTTTATATACCGGTTTCCTGTGTTTTTGCGATTTTTAAAATACGCTGTCGACATTTATACATGCACACACGATCGTTTAAAAAATCATTATTACAGATGTTTTTGTTATTTAGTTTGAATTTGTTAATTTAGTTTTGAATAATTTCCAAATAAGCCCATACTATACTTAGAATAGTTAACCGCACAACCAAGTAATGGTTTGTAAATAACATTGGGAAAAGGGTAAAAAAAAAGTGTTCAGGCGTGATTCACATTAGTTGTTTAAACGTTTATACATTTAAAGTAGATATTTAGGTAGATGAAAATGATCTGAAGCTGGTATGTCATGACATAAAATTTCAATTCAAAAAATATATTTAAAATTACACATGATAAGAAGAAATGAAAAGGAAAAAGGTTAGGAGAGATGGTTTCAGAAAAAAAGGCTTCAGGGGGTTGAAATAAAAGTCATGAGGTCATACTTGTATCCCATTATGACGTCAACCCTGAAGTTCAAATCTGATCGGCCTTGTCGGCACAAAAAGGTATATGACGTAAAATGCATGCGGCACCAAAGGGTTAAAGTGCATTGTTAATTTCGGTGTCAATTTTGGTAGGTTTTATGGTGACGTCATAATGTATCATGACCTCATTACATTTACAGAACATGTTGAAAAATGTGTATTGTAGTTCATCGTTACGTAAATATATGAATTGAATGGATGTTGTTATCATGCACATTGCGGAAATGAATGGCAGTAGCTGACCTACAAAACCTGCTGAGCGCGTTAGCGTTAATGAATCCATTCAATCTCCATGTAAACATAGGAAATCAATAATGAACGTCTTTTGTCGCCAAAAAAATACATTTAATACGCAATTTTGATTTCTAGATATAATCAATAAAGTTACGTTTTAAGAACTGTCAGTGTAATATATATATTTAATACATGTTGTAAAAAGAAATATTCTCAACAACGAGTCTTTAGTACTTTCATCTCTTCTAGGAGATTATTATGACGTCACATAATAGTTCGCTATAGCGACGTCCACTATACGTACCCGCCATAGCGATATCACAGCAATAGACATACATTAATTATAGTCTTAAGGCAAAGAGTACTATTTTTTTTAGGATTTATAATTACTAGTAATACTATTATTTATGAAAAAAAAAACCATAACATTAAAGAATTGAAATTAACATTGAAACTCTCCCTGTGTGGGGCGAACTCGGGACCATTACATTAGTAACCCGACACACTACCGATGTCACTACTTCACAAAAATGACTCTTCAATAGACAAAAAAAAAATATGATAATGCACATACTTTCAAATACAGGGGTACTCTCTACCTTAAACGTAACATGAAGTTAGAACATTATAAATTTTTTGTTAAACAGTACTGTCCAAGCGGGGTCTAAGAAGTCTGATGAATTCAGCTTCCTTAGCATCACGTTTGATTACGTCTGAGTTGTTCTTTTGATAAATAGGACATATTTTAAATTTTTCATCAGGCAAGCGTGCATGCGTTTACTAACCGGTAAAAATCTTAAGCTGTCTGTTCGTATTTGCTGTCCATGTACAATCATTATTGTTCGTAGCTCACCGCCCGATATAAAATTCAGACAATTGTTACAAATCAATGCGTAAATTACATGACTAGACTTACAATTCATGTTTTTTTAACCTTAAAGCTAAAACCATTTTTGAACTTAACATCGCTTCCTTCTATAATAAGGTTACAAATACCACAACGAGGTGTATTACATTTTGATACACATGCATTAAGATGATTACTTTCAAATTTTGATCTAGTTAGAATACGTTTAAGATGTTTTGGTTGTCTTTTGCTGTTTGTTAAAGCACAACGATCCAAGACTTTTTTCATACGTTCGCTACCTCGTATCAAATCTTCACATCTGTTCTGGATTACTGGAAATATGTTAAAAATTACGAGGGTTGAAAGTAGAAACAAATGACATCATAGCCACATAATCTACAACACGAGTGCGGGCTGTAAAAGGTCCCTTTTTAATTGCCACACTTTTACCTTTTTCAACAATATCCTTGAAATTTTAAAAATGTAGTAATTTCATCAAGTTTTTTCTTTTTAATATATGTTTATTCTACCAACTTAGTTTCCAACAGTTAGCCACTTTTGCCTTCATCAATTTAATAAGGGACTACTATATAAATAAGACATGCTATTTAAATTAAACGGTTTTCTGTTTTCGCGATTTACATTCCGTTACATCTAATACTATTTATACGAATAAAACCACAACACGAGTTTCGTTGTATAGAGCGAACAATCAGGAACGTATGACAAAGACAGTAACATGTACGAGAACAAAACAAAGTATAGGAGCATAACACTGAGGCACATAACATCTAATTAGTAAATGTGTGTATACATGTATGTTATTCAATAAACTTTCATTGTAGGTATTTCATGTTAGTAAAGGATCCTACCACTGAAGGTATATACGTTCCTACAATAAACACGAGTTTCAATGTATATAGTGGACGACACGGAAGTAGGGTATCTATAATTATAGCCAGTTGTTATATATATGCTTTCCCTTCACCTTATATAAGAAATCTTACCTTGGAGTGTGGTGATGTACAGCCATAACAAACACTGTAATCGTCTGTCCAGTGTCATACTGACCAGGTCGATGATCACACACCTGGTGTACAATTTGTTAACGAGTACCCGAATACTTCCTGGTTTATTATGAGAATCTCTGTCGCAGTTATGTCCCTTACTCCACCATTATCTCTAACATTATGACTGAAAGGCTTTGAACTCGATCAACAAACTTCATTTGGTACAAAAGTTTTGTAAAAGACAAACCTCAGAATATACCATTGATCAAAAACCAAGTAAAAACCTCAGAATGTCTCTACATTTCCACATCCTGGTAAAACTTTTGACAATTTTTAATAATTTAAATGTGGACGATGTGTCGAATATGCATGGAATAAAGGTTTAATAATAATTTCATTCGGCTTAAACCTGGCATTTTCAGTGAATTAAACTTTTCGAAAGATCATAATATTATGTTGTTTTTTCTTAAAGTCCGTCAAATATGAAGTAGTAAGTTCTGTACATCTTCTTTTGAAGTCGTGTCGTAATTAGAGAGACATTTATACACCAATACAACAAAGCGTACGTACACAAGGCGAGCTTCAATGAAAGATTCGTGACGCGTTTCATAAATCTCATATTACAAGGAAACGAGTGTAAGATCCTTTTATCATATCCCTGAAATAATCTCCTTTCATTCGTTAAAACAAACAATTGCATCGAAGTCTCAATTTCTTTTTTAAAATCACTCTCTTTCTTTTCTTAAATGAACTGGAGAACAAAATTAATGATTTTTGAATAATTTAAGATCATGCATGACGGACATCTCATAATCTTAATTAATTTAGCAACACATGTTAATATCAATCGTCATTTGAAAAAAGGTTTAAAATCAGTGGCTGTACGGAGTCAAAGATAATGTTTAGCTCACCTGGCCCGTAGGACCATGTGAGCTTATGCCATACTGCGGCCGTCGTCCGTCGTCCGTCTGTCAACTTTTTCTTTTGAACGACTTTTTCAGAAGAACTGGACGACCTATAGGGTCATGATATTTGGCCAGTAGGTATTTGGGATGGAGTGCTATAAAGTGTCCTCATTAACATGACAATGACCTACTTTCAAGGTCACAGGGGCCAAATATGCTAACAACTTCAAACAACAATATCCGAAGTACCATTTGGACAAGAGTCATGATACTTGGGTTTGTTATTTAGACTAGCAGTGCAAATATTACCACAGAAACCTATCCGTCATCGCCCTTAATCAAAATCTTTATTATAATAGGGATCCTACTCAAAGACGAAATTGTCACTATTTAGTGTTGTTTAATAACCCCGTGGATAAGCAGCAAATCATGACGTTGGCCCGGCAAATGTATCCAGAGAATACAAAGCACTTAATGAGACAATGCAGAGAAGCTACAGACAAACCAAACGGTTATTTACTGGTGGATATGAAACCCACTACCCCTGAATCTCTACGTCTGCGCCGTAATGTTTTCCCAGACGAGCTTATAAAAGGACCCATGCATGCTACTTTGATTCATTCTGAGGATAACACTCCTACCGTGCAGACGTATTCTGGAGTCCCTGAAGAAGATAAGTATTTAACTGCTGTAGTAAAAGAGCCATAAATCAATATGATCAGCTGTGAAGATTGTGGTGTTGTCTTCGAAAACTTGCATGATCTACAGAAACACATTACGAATCGGTGTCCCGATCAATCTCGATTGAAGAGGGAAATGTCTGAGGAAGATTCTTTACCTGACAAAAAGATGAAATTCGAGAAAATGATCTTGGAAGACAGCGACACGTCGAATGAGTCATATGATGACTATGAAGATGACGTATTTAGGCAGTTTGCAGAAATAGCAAGAGAGAACAACGTAAACAATGTCAAAAAAAATAGAGAAATATGAGAATCAAGGAATCTCACATTCCGAGCCTAAATCGAAGGCCGGAATCCAAATAGTCTTCAAATCGATGTTGGAATTGCCTAAGAGTTACTCGAATGGCCTTTTCACTATCCATGCCATCAGCCATGCAGTTTTCAATGGATTATATAACCTCTCCGTGTGATCTCCCGTGTCTTAACTGCAATAAATAGGATAACATTTTCCCATAGTATCTTAGGAATTCTTTAAGGTCCTCGTCCTGAAGTTTCATGTCGTCAAAGCCACTGATGACGAGGAGAGTGTTAATACTGATTCCGAGGGGTCGGGCAATGAGGAAGATTATGAAACGGATGAAGACAATGGTGAAGCTGAGGATAAGATTAAATTTTCAGCCCGAAAGTTTTGATTGAGTTAACTTTATATACAAACTTATGATTGTAAATAATGAAGAACACTTGTCAATTGTTCCCGAGGTAAATAAAACTTGTAAAAGCTTCCGATGTTGTCGTTGTTCTTCTTTCTGTATTGATAAGGTAATACCATAGCACACACAAACTATTGACTGATGTTTAAGGATTTTATTAAAACAGACGGACATTTCATACTTTGATGCATACCTAGCACCATATAAAACAAGAGGTGTATATTTTTAAAAGTAATTTACAAAATATATACGGACAATGATACAGACGTACATTAGAACATTTCCTACTTTCATGCATCTATACTATCATATCATAGAACAAGAGGTGCTGATTTAAACGAAGTAATGTACAAACAAATATTATAGTATTTACAACCATCAAGCAAAATTAGCATTAACTAACATACATACTTTGTGAAAACAAAATGACAACTATATAGTTGCACAAACGATATGATTATAAAACTTGAGCGTGTATTGATATGAAATGGTTCATCACTGTGAAGTTTTATAATGACCATAAGCCAAACTCTCTATGCAAGTGAGATACCATTTGTCGTCGTAAGGAGACAGACTGGTCTTGTTGACCGTTATATTGGAGTTGGTGATCAAAACTACGTATAAGATTCATTTTATAATTGCAATTGCTTTCTTCAAAAAGACAGAGTAAGTACGTTTGGTGTCTCAATTGCTTTTCAATAACAGATTTATTCACTCTACCTTGGCTGTACGTTTCTCTACACCCCCACACGTCAGACTATACATTTTGGGTTTTAATCCAACGAGCTGATCCATGATTTGACCATTACACTCGTCTTTCATTTTACCGAGGACTTTGTAATTGTTCATGCTGAACATAGAACTGTCTTTTGGGAAATTGCTTGTGTCAAACATGTCAGCGTTGTCTTGCATGTCTCTGTACCAGTCAGGTATTTCTATACTGTATGCAAGGGAGTCCGTGTCAGTGAATAATAATTCTGCTTTTGATCGATACTCTTGTTTGATGAAATCATAATGGAACTGATACATGAATATCTTTGATACCTCTAGAATACAGAACCCTGCATAAATCGGCCGATTTAAAACAATGTGTTTTTTCTTCATGTTGACGGCGACAGGATCTTTGTTAAAAAAAATAAAAGACTGAACATTTTGTTTAGCACACACTTTTCTGAGTCGTTTTGGTGTATTGACAAGTTTCACTGAAACTCGCTTTCTCATGTTTTCCATTGTTCATAAGTTTGAAAAAGTCCTTCTCGAAACTGTTTCGTGCTTGTTTTTTCTTTTGATTGTATTAGGGTCAATGTAAGGCTTCAGCCAATCGAATTGGGTAAATTCAATAACCCGATGAATGTTCTTAAGTATCATACCTTTATAAAGGTAGTATTTCAAAATCCGGTAATGGAGAACATATTGCTTTAGAGAATGTGGAGAGAGCATGTCCTTTGTAATGCTGATAATCCCGGGTGCTAGGGGATATTCGTTGTGCTTGTCGTGCAAATGAATCGGATATTCAAGGTCAACTTCCAAAATGTAGCCCGTGTCCGCATTGTCGTCAATATTAGATACGTCAAACTGTGCGATTTGTTTTGGTGTCAACCATGCAGAGTCCTTTTCCGGTGGGGATTCAGACATGCTTGTACATACGTTGTTCATGTCAAGGTACGTGAGCCAAGTGTTTGGTTTGGACGGATTGAATTCCGGCGACACGGGAATATTAGCCTGTGCAAATTTCTTTGAAATCATTGACACACCACCTCGAATATTCTTTTTAACCATCAGTACCATGTCGATATCATCTAGAAGCTGACGTTCTACCCCGGTCATTTTTAGCATGGCTTCCCAAGAAAATCCAGGAGCCGAGTAATAATGGACCGGATCCAGTTTGTAATAGTCTAGACCGATAGAGCGAAAATTCTCGAACACATCGGCTAATAGCAATACGTCCGTCTTTAGGTAAAGGTCATGATACTCACCAAAACATGTCATGTCAAATGTATGCCAGATCGATTGTGCGTGTTCATAGTCTGTTTCGGATAGATCTGAATCTGTCAGTGTATTATAAAACCGATCCTTTCCGGGCAATTTATTTTCGTCAAACTTTTCGGGTGATGTCGCGTAATCGTACGGATACACACCCTTCCTAAGAAGGAGTTTGAGATGTTGCTCTTTTGGGAAGTGCTTTGACAAGTTTGGGAATCTATCTATTCCTTCGACTGCTAAATTTGACACCAGTGTGTCAAGCGGGGCATATAGAAATTGTAAGGAATCTATGAATCTCAGATTCCTAAGGGAGAAAGGCATGTATACAAGACAAGGGTTTCGATTTAAATTTCCCCGTCGATTCCATCAACATATGCATATCATAACCATGCAAGTTATGAAATACCACGAGGATGTAGACTTTTGATCCCTGCGATCTCTTTAAACCCTGTCGAAACTGAAACTGAAAGTTACAGTTATTGTGACTATCAACCCTAAATGCTCCATTTAAGTGGTCGTGGTCGCGAACTCTGTCCTCTCCCAATTTATTTCGACAGATGTGACATGTCGTAGCTTTTTGAAAGGAAGATTCTTCTTCCTCTGTCAAGCACATTGGTTTCACGTTTGAAAGATTTGACAAATAGCTTCCTCTTCTTGAATTAACTGCGTGAACAAAATATCAACTACGTCAGGTCTTCTATAGACCGGCGCGGATTTCGATAGTTCATCGGTTGAACATTTAACCAAGTAGGAAAAGCCGGAATGTTCATTTGTTTTGATACTTAGTTGTGGATGATG